GTTAAATGCTCAGTCTTTGATATGGAAATTATTTTTCATTCTCATGCAAATAAAACTCATTTCACAAGAAAGGTTATACAGTTGGCCTCATTTTGAAAGTGAGAGATTTTGGAACTCGGAAGTGGGCTATTTCGTTCGGGAATCAGCGCTTACATTTGCATATAGTACAGACCAGTCCCACTTACCGAAGAACGGCCGCGAAAGCCTGAAACTGGTATCATGATGAGTTTTAATGAGTAGAACGCGAATTCCCATTTCCAACCTTTCGACCGGAAAAACAGGACTACCTTACTAAACGTTTCTTTTCCACTGGAGCGACCCAAAAGATCTTGTGCCATTAAATTCCATGCGGACGTTTTCCAGAACCGTTTTGTAAATGGTAAACCTCTATGGTGCTAGCTTGTTCACAGACTCTCCGCTATTTTCTCTTAAAAGTCCGTCGAGCGCGGGTGATAAAATATAAACCGCAGGGGATTTATTGACCGCCAGCGCAAGGGGGTAGTGGTGGGGGAAGAAGAAAATAGAATAATTTATTTTCTTTCACGCGCTCCGCGCTCTTTCTCGCGGGCTCACGAGGTCGCCGATGTTTTGAAAGAACGAAAAGAAAAATAAAACAACGTCTGTGTACAGGCTACTATGGTGTAAAGTTATGTATATTACTAATAAGACGAGAAATTTACTTTAACAGAAGGAGCTTAGAGATGAACACGAGAGACATACAGAGGATGAACTGTCTAAACAAAGTGAGTATATTGACAAAACGATACATTTGTCACTCAGTTCAAGATATCAATCTTTGCTCCGTAAATGCTACAGCCACATCTGCATTAAGCGGACACCCTTGAGGAATGGCCAACTGACCGCTCGATACAGGTTAACCGTTTGATTCAGGTTTGTCCCCAGGTGGCCCAAGCGTAATATTAAATAAAGAGTTTGTATGGGAAATGAAACTTAAATGAAATAAATGAACTAAAAGCGATAAAAGTTACCAGTTAAGTGTAAATATTGTTACCTGGTGATGTTGTCTGTGTTTTTACGAAGTTTCACCGCACTGCCAGGTCAGATGATGTATAAGTACTCAAATCGCGCTGAAACTTCATAAAAACAAAGACAACAACACCAAGTAACAGTATTTACTCATTATTGGTAACTTTTGTTGCTTTCAGATCATTGATTTCATCTAAGTTCATTTCCCATTCAAACTCTTTATGTTATATTACGCTTGGGCATTATAGGTTTGTGTGATTGCCCACCTACCCCTCCCCTAAGCCAACATTATCACCATATTTCTCACTTAGGGTAAAATGTTGGCTTAGGGGAGGGGTGGGGGAGGTGGGCAGTTTCCCAGAAACGTATAATGATTCGAAATATTCTAATGAATTAACTGTGGTTATATCAATCATAGGAAGAGAGATGCTTCACGACAAGAACAAGGAAATAGATGGGTTGAACAAAGAGTTTCAAAGGCAAATACAAGTTTTGGTTGAAGACCACAAGAAGGAAGTTGATGTGAGTATTCGATGCGCAGTTTTCAAAGACAAGATATCGGGTATTTACTTTACTTTAGCAAAGTCTCTACCATTAACACAATTTCAATTTGTATAACAAATACGCCATTATTGATTGTAGCTTTTGTTCTTGCAACACCTGTAAACACTCCTCAAAAAAGTTGTCGCCAGTTTAAAATATACACAACTAAAAAATGGCATTGAGAAAAATGCGATGTTTATCACTGGACAAGAAAACCTGCGTTCCTAACGGAATTTAAACCTGTTATCCCCAGGAAATCATGCCGCGGTACTTAATCCAGGTAGTTACTGAAAAACGTATTGCGAACTAGGCCATTTATTAGCTTCACATGTATCAGGCGTCGTGGTTACCTGATGGCAAGGATGATCAATGTAGAAAGAGTTCACTGTGGCTTTGCAGAGTGTGGTAACTATAGCCGCATGCTAGAATCCTATAGACTAACTGATTTCTTATATTCCTTTCATCAGAACTTGATGGAGAAGTTTGCCGAGTGCGTACAGGATTCGGAACAACTCAAATCAGCTCTGCTGGAGATGCAGGTATACAGTACGGAAAGTGGACCTTGTCGGTAATGGAGTCCCATGCATTCAATTACAACCTTTTTTTCCTGTGTAAACCCTGTAAGCAAGAGCCATATTAATGGACCTACAGGGCCTGTAAGTTCTTAAAAGGAAACCTTCATTTACTGGTTCACAAGGAACTTACATAGCCTTAAAGCAATGCGGTGAGCTAAAACATACAAAGGCAACGGAAGAATTTTAAGCATCTTCCGGGTAGACAAGGTTCTCCTTCGCGTCAACCTCTCCGAGGCTGTAATACCATAAAGCTGAGTACAGATAAAACTCCGTGTGAGCGGTAATATAGTGTCCTCACTTAGACATAAGATGAGGCGTGTGGGCTTAAGGGTACTTACTATTACATGGGAAAACCGGAAATTCCGGTTGGGAAATCAAATGGTTCACGCCATTCCGTTTGGGAAGCTTCAAAAAATATGGTTTGTGATTTGCGATGATGCAATTATTTTATACTCTTTTCAGCTCACAGTCTGTTCAGCTGATTTGGATATACTTTGAAGCCGTTCGGTCTCCAACCTCGGCAAATTTTTTTATTACTTAAGTGAATGTTACGTTAATGAGATAAGAGTGAATTGGAGAAAAGCGGAGAAAATCGGTACCTTTGGAACGCGTGTCAAGCAAGCTAATGCTTTTCGTGATTGATGTTTACAGACGTTAAAACAGAAGAAACAAGAACTTGAAGAAAAGCTCAAAACCAATAAAGAAATTCTTAGAAAGACGCAAATGGAGCTAGAAGACAAGGTGAGATATTGAGAAGGAAAAAAATAAAAGACAACACTTGCTAATAAGTCCTTTTCCTGAATTATTATTATTATTATTATTATTATTATTATTTTTAAGGGAAACGTGAAATTTTTTTTGTGTGGGCTAGAAATGGCAAAAACCCTAACACTTATTTTGTCCCTTTTTAAGAAAGAAAGAATAACAAACATTTTGAAAATTTGATTTTGAGCGATCTTTCTGGTTTTGTTTTGTTTTGTTTTTCTTTACTCTGTTAACAGTCAGCAAAGGATTTGAGTTAAGCTGGATTTGATCCACTTTGCCATCTTAAAGGTTTCTGTTTATCAACCGCTAGCTGTAATAAAGCGTCCTGTCCCTTAATCAGAGCAACTGTGGTTCCAAGCCCGGTCAGCTGGTGTGATGCTGTGTTAACGGTACACACAACACGGAACATATGATGTTCATATGACGTGCTCTTTGAACAGCTCGGCGTAAAGTTTTTTATAACTGAGCATAACAGTGATCAGTGTTTTAGATCTGGCTGTCTTCTCTTTACAGAAAATCAAGTTGGCGGCTTTTGAAGAACACTTTGAAGCGAAGGTATGTTGTTTTATTTGTTGTGTATGTGAATTAATATGGTATGTCCTAAGACTACGAGCTGTTCAACACTCTGTCAGTTTAGTCGAGGCTTAGCAGGGCTGGAGGGATCAAGGGGACACGCATAGGGAGGTGGACTGGGGAAGGGCGGCAAGAAAACTGACCATCCCTCTCCTCCCACCTCCTAACCCGTGAATTTTTCAATTGTTCGTAACATGCTTACTCGTACTACGCATTCACGAACAGACTGCCAGGAATCTCGTGTCCTTGGAATCTTATGGGACACTTGTATTAAAAAACCAAAAAAATGTTCTACGGACCGGATGCTCAAGAGGTGTATTAGTGTCCGCAAGACTTTCTTTCCCGAAACGGTGTAGACCTCTTTCATAATGGCGGCCTATTGATATATTCTTTTATATGTATGATAATTAGCCTTTCTAAGCTCGTTTGAAAGTAAGTCTTTTGTATTTTGCACATGCTAACGAGGTCAGAAAGGCTAATTATCTTACCTACAAAAGAATGTATTTATAAGCCGCCATTATTAAAGAGATCTATTTACTAAGTTTGAAAACATGTCACTGAATTGCGACTTAAACATATTTTAAACTTACTGATTCTTTTTATGAATTTCATTTTAATGCAGGTGGAAGAAGTTGACAACAGATATTCCATGAGAATGCAAGGCCTGATGTCAGATAATACCGACTTGAGGTAAATACCAGCGACTAGCAAAAGGATTGTTACTGTTTTCAACGATTTAATAAGTCTTCTTTGTATCGTTTGTAGCACGAAAGGGCTACTTTAAGACACTTTTTTTTAATACTTTACAGCCAATTTATAAGGACAGTGTCTGCCACTCTCAGTTATTTTAAGACCCTGAGTACTGGTCCACCCGGGAGGGTCGATCTCGTGACCTCCCGCTTTGCCATTCAGAGTGAGGAAAGTGTGAAAGAGACATGAACCATGAATTTTAAACATGGAAAGTGCACAGAAACTAACCATCTCGCGACAAGAAATTGATGCAGATATTCATTGCATAGGCTTCAAATAACGCTTAACTAGTGGTGCTTCTCTAGGTTATACCTCGGTGTTTTAGTGACATTTAAAGGTTTTATGCCAATATTAAATTGCTTTACATCATCAATATCATTTATTATCATCAGCATCAGCATCGTCGTCGTCTTCGTCATCGCCATAGCCATCGCCATCGGCATCGTCATCATCATGCACTGTCCTTTGGCCAACGTCCTGTTCGCTAACTTCTGAAGTCGTTTGGCGCACGTGTTGCGTCAGTTCCCCAACTGCTTTCATCTGATCAGTGGTTGAAAGAACGAGGTATACACATGTGTATCGCACTTTTTTGTATCATTGCTGAGAGAACGAAGCATATACATGCGCAGCGCTCATTTCACTTCTTACCGGAACGACATAACACGATAGCGAATGGGACGTTGGCAAAACGACCGGTCACCCTTTAAATTATCTGGCCGTCGCCGTCTTGGTTGCCTCAGTTCCCTGCCATCTGTCATCATCGTCATCATCATCATCCTCACTTTCTATCATCATCGTCATTGTCATTATAGTCATCACCGTCATCTGATAATCATTATTATTAGCACTATCATCATCGTCATCACTTTTGTTGCTACTCCAATCAGTGTCAGTCCTTAGTAGCCTACACTTACCATGTGTTAATGTTTTCATCTCAGGCGTCATTACATCAAGAAATGTGAACAGTTCTTTAAACTCAAATCAGATCAAGACGCAGAACAGGTAGGTTTCTTTACATTGACTATCAATGTTCCTTATAGTTAAATACTGAGTACTTTTTGTTTTCTTGTGTAATAGGATAGCGCTATCCGCACAGCCAAAGATACACTCCAGGTAAAAACAATACGCAATTCCTTTACAACTTTATAATTACCTTAAGATACCATTTTTTGCTTAAGGGTACAGGTAGGGGAATATGTTTGCCATCTGTTCACATTAAAAGGGGACCATGATTCTCCGGATTCAGTTATGGCTTCACCACTCTTCCCGATAGGAAAAATGTGTCTACCCTTACTTACCGGGTTGCAGGTAAGGTCATAACAAGTGGCTGGGGTAAGGGCGCACCAATCACGATGGCCAAAACCTAAATTTTAAAACGTTTCAAATTTTAAAACGTCACTCTGGCGTTTTTCATCCTCTGCAAGCAAGGCATGGTCGTTAGTTTTCATTTGAATATGGGAAGTTTCATTTGAGACTAAATTTGATTATACAGTAGAACCTCGATAACTCGAACTCGGACAACTCGAACTGCCCGCTAATTCGAACTAAGTCCAATTGACCTTAGATTTCACTCCAATTTCCAATCATTTTTACTCGATTATTTTAACTCGGATAACTCGAATTCCGCGCTAACTCGAACTAAAATTCCCTTCCCTTGATATAAAAGTCACTGAAATTTACCCCGATAACTCGAATTCTGGTTCTTTTAACTCCACTCGGATGCTATCCCATCAGCTCTTCTTGTTGTGTTAGGGCAAAAACACTAAAACTAACGCTGGTCACTATTAAAGGCAATTTGATTTTAATTGGTGAAACGAACAGATCACTTTTAATCATAAGTGAGTTACCGGGATTCCACTGTATTATTGTATTAAGTTGGCACGTCTTCTAAATAAAACATAGTCATAACTTCCCAGCATACATACAGTTTAGATTTTAACGGTACATGAGTGGCCTAAATTTAAGCTTCCAAAACTCGTCGTAAGTTATTTTTCGCTTTTTTGTCAAACAGGCTGTTATTCTAGCTCGAACAAGGTGTGACGTCAGTCTAACAGCCCTTCGAAACGAAAACCCAGATTTGCGTAAACAAGAACCAAACACGCGTGAAAAACGACCGTTGAGCGCTCCATCAACTCGAGAAGAAATATCTACAGCTGTGAGATTAACTGCCCCAGTTAGCGATAACAAAACGCCAACGAATCAGCCGAAAATGTTCAAGTATAAGTCGGAGGTTAACAAACCAAGACCCCACACGTCTCACCATGCTACCATGTACAGTCCCAGGACCCTAAATACGAGTGCGCGCTCTAACGCTCGAGAGAACCTGGTGCCTACGCCTGTGAACATTTCAAATCAAGGAATACGAAATCTGCGGACTCAGAGAGAATTTTTAAGTTAAATGTTTTTATTTTGTTTAGGTGACATATTTATTTGTATTTATTGTACGTGGGACCCATTTTTGGTGTAAAATATCTTGCTTAATAAATTTCACCATTGCGTGTTTTAACGAGTTCTTAAATTTCTGCTCTCTCTTAAAACTTCCCTAAACATTTTTCTAGCCTGAGGTATATGTTGTAGTTAATTTTTTATCTCAGTTAATTTTTTTTTTTCCTTTTTTTTTGGGTATGGTATTGTATGCTAATGATTTTGAAACAAAGGAAAAACAAAAATTACCTGAAATAAAAATATTAACTGCAACATATATTTTCCTCTATTGGCAAAACTTCAACATTTTTGAGTAAAATCATGAATTAAACCCTTTGGAAAAATTCAGGTTTGGCAACTAAAAATCGATACTTTTATAGACTAGAAAGGCTTTTTTTCTACTAAAAGTATGTCTAAACATTTTTTGTAAGTCCGTTTTGAATAAAACCAAATAAAATTAAAATAAAAATTTTGGACCAAAATTATTGGTTAACCCCTTTGAAAAAAAATCTGCTAATTACCGTCTGTGTAAAATCAGGAGCCGACTCCTGTTAAAATCGATATTCTTATATAGAAAGGCTTCTTTTTTATTTAAAACATTTCTTAAATGACGAAAATCACGGGTAAACGTGATAAATAAACGGTAATAAACGACTACACCAAATCGCGACTTTCATATTCTAGATAGGCTTTTTAGTGCGGCAGTATTGGACATGACTGTTGCCCAAAACGAAAAAATATGAAAAAAATTGCATTTTTCCTTACCTAAACCATGGGTTTACCCCTTTGTAGAACTTTAAATTTGATCTCGATATTTGCGCGCTTCGCGCGCGTAAGACTCGTAGCCACGCTTTACCGATTTCTTTACTGATTTTGATTAAAA